TTGCACGCAATTTGACTTTTCAATGGCAAGTTCTCTCATGTCTTAAACATTTTGTTCTATGCTAAAATACAATTTTCTTTCCCACGGCTAAAAAAAGAGCCACGGAACAAAGGAGCAACGCAAACATGTTTTTTCTGTACATCTGCATATATTAGGACCAAATTATCCAGTTGTTTCAAACCATTCCTTTATCTACAGTTATAGTTTGGAATCGATTGAAAATTAGGATCATATACATTAAAAGCAAAGGTTTACATCATCAGAAGTTAGATTTCTGTGTTTTCTGATCGCGAAATTAAAAAAAATACAATTAATGACACACATATGCACACATACACACAGCCTTTCGTATATTTAAGTTTTGCATTAATGTAAGAAAACTGAGGGACTGAAACTGGCTTCCGACAGTGGACGCTCTGCTACTCACAACGATTTTCGCACCTATCAAGCGGCAAAATTAACATACCTCGGCTACTTCATTTATCGTTTTTTCCAGTTCGTCTTCGACTTCCTTTTTTGCTTGATACTTGTCCTCCAGCTCCACTTCAGAGGCAGCACTTGCTGCTGCATGCTCCAACATCTCTCGCTCTTTTCCCTCACTTGGCATTCTCTCGATGTCCATTCCAGCATCGCCGTTTTCCTCAGCGTTCTGCTCATTCATCACTGTCCTGTTGGGAAACGCATCATCGCTCGGATTAATTGCTTCCGCATTTTCAAGCTGCGCGGTCTCACCCATTGTTAACTGCTGAAACAGATGTTCGTACCAAAATTAAGCACAATCCCACCAAAAAATTGTTCAGAGAGAAATAACTGCAGTTAATCTATCATTGAACAAGTTCTGTAAAACAATACCATTCCGCTAGCAGTTCCAATCACTCTGGAAACTCAGGCTATCTACAAAATGCTGCATATCGAAACAAGAAGAAAACAAAATTCCACCACGATGCACTGCGCAATTTGCCGAATTATGATATTCCTAGCAACTGATTAACATCACTGCTATCCTAAGAAAATCCAAGTATTCACAGAGCAAATTTAATGGCGAATCACTATGGGAAAAAATTTCACAAAAAGCTGAATATACTGCTTGGGATGGCCTGATACACCATCATCACAAAATGAGCCACTCCAAGCAACTAATAATGCATATTTTTATAGCAATTTTAAAAGTACAAATTAATGCAATTGAAATGCAACATAAAAAAAACATCTTACAAAAACTAACATCTCAACTTATCAGCTGCAACTGGATGAGAAAAACTGAGGGCGGAGAAGAACGGGACAACTGCCAGCTGCAGCACTGAAGGTAACAAGAACAACAACAATCAAAGCATGTTGAACAATGAAAGTGGGGGAAAAAAAGGATAGAGAAGTCAGGGGGCGAGAAAAAAAACGGAAGACACTCAAAAAACACTCATATTTAATCCTCTACTTATGTGCCAACCTCCTACTTCCACACCACTCGCATTAATGCCATA